TCTCTTATTTCTCCACAAAGCCACAGGTAAAGGTGTTTATGGCTCGGTGGCTAACCACAGCCACAGACACTTTAAGAGGTCACAAGCTGACCCTATCAACTCATTTTTCAAAATAGTGTTAACGACTATGCTTTCTGCTAGGATTTGAAAACTCTCAGCACCTCCATGCCGAGAACAATTTAATCTGGCCCCAAATTCAGGCAATGAAACATAAACCCATCTAACTGGTCACCTGCAAAATAACTATTTCCAAAGCCTATATAATAATAATAATTATTATTACTATTATTATTATTCATAGCTGTGAAAAGTATACTCTGCTTTATAGAGCACTTTCATAGATACTAAGTAGCTTAGTTGAACAAATATTTCCAAAATAAAATTTTGCTCTCTCAAAATCAGTTAGTGACTGTGCAGCTAAAATGGGTGAATTCTATTGTATGCAAATTACACTTCAGTGAAGCAAATATCATAAGTGACTTTTATTGTCTTCCTTGGGGATTTCTCTTTTCCTTAATGGAAGACAAAAGAGAACATAGAAGTGGAGGAAGACAGGCTGTTGAAAGACAGGAGACCCATTTTCAAGGTTCTCTGGCCTTCGCAGGGTACCCCCTGCCAGCCAGGTGTTGAGACACAGCTGAAGGTAAGGGACATGTCTGACAATGGGGAAATCACGCCTCCATTCCAACCCCCATTTTCTCCCTGGTGACTGCCAAGCCTGGCTCTCCCAGCTGTGCCAAGTCTTTCATGAGGAGGGCGACCAATACCAGACACGAGAGGTCACCATGAGCTATACCCACCCTGCACCCCAACAAGTATCGGTGTACCCAGAACCTCCTCCGGGGCAATCTGGTCATGGTCTCCCTGACCCTCCCATGCTTAAAATGACCACATAATTCAAAGACAGAAAACAGATGGAAGCTGGAGAGCAGGGAAGGAGAAGGACCAGAGTGAACAACTACGGACCGGCCTCCCAGTTCTGTCAAATCCTGACAGTCTGCCATATTTGCTTCAGATCTTTTCACTTTTTCTATGAAATAAAACATCATTGATAGAATTAAATTCCATGTTCTCCTCTCTTTATTTCAGTCAGTCTCGTTCTTTCCTTGTAAATTTGGCGTCTTTCATTTTCCATGCAGTTTTAATATTCCTACATATTACCTGATGGTATAACTAAAAATACATACGTAGTATACTTTCGAATGTTTTCAAGAAAACAGTGTGTGTGTGTGTGTGTGTGTGTGTG